GGGGACACACAGGGGACACACAGGGGACACACAGGGGACACACAAGGGACACACAGGGACACAGGGGACACAGAGGGGACACAGGGGACACTGCAGGGACAGACACACACAGAGGGGACACAGAGGGGACACAGAGGGGACACTGCAGGGACAGACACACAGAGGGGACACAGAGGGGACACAGGGGACACAGAGGGGACACAAGGGACACAGGGGACACTGCAGGGACCCACGGCGGCGCTGCTCTGGTAGAAGTGCCCCATCTCGGCTGTCAGCTTGTCCAGCTGCAGGCTGCGCGTCCCCAGCAGTTGGATCCAGAAGTGCCCGGGGCTCTCGGCAGCCGACACGTAAACGTCCAGGTGTTCATCCGCGGGGAAACTGAAATCTGGGCTGGGCACTGCGGGGAGCCACGGCACGGGGGACACCAAATCCAACCAAAATCACACAAAATCCACACAAAATCCACACAAAATCACACAAAATCCACACAAAATCACACAAAATCCACACAAAATCACTCAAAATCCACACAAAATCACTCAAAATCCACCCAAAATCACCCAAAATCCACTCAAAATCACCCAAAATCCACTCAAATCCACATAAAATCACACAAAATCCACCCCAAATCACTCCAAATCCACCCCAAATCCAATCCAAATCACCCCAAATCACCCAAAATCCACCCAAATCCATCCAAAATCCACCCAAATCCACCCCAAATCACCCCAAATCCACCCAAAGTCACCCAAAATCCACACAAAATCACACAAAATCAACCCAAAATCACTCAAAATCCATCCAAATCCACCCAAAATCCACACAAAATCCTCCCCAAATCACCCAAAATCCACCCTAATCCACACAAAATCACACAAAATCCACCCCAAATCCACTCCAAATCCACCCAAAGTCACCCAAAATCCACACAAAATCACCCAAATCCACCCCAAATCACCCAAATCCATCCAAAATCACACAAAATTCATGTAAAATCACACAAATCCACACAAAATCACACAAAATCCACACAAAATCACACAAAATCCACCCCAAATCCAATCCAAATCACCCCAAATCACCCCAAATCCACCCAAAGTCACACAAAATCCACACAAAATCACCCAAAATCCACCCAAATCCACCCCAAATCACCCAAATCCACCCAAATCCACACAAAATCACAAAAAAATCCACCCCAAATCACACAAAATCCACACAAAATCACACAAAATCCACCCCAAATCCACCCCGAATCACCCCAAATCCACCCAAAATCCACACAAAATCACACAAAATCCACACAAAATCACCCAAATCCACCCCAAATCACCCAAATCCACCCAAAATCACACAAATCTACCCAAAATCACCCCAAATCCACCCAAAGTCACACAAAATCCACCCCAAATCACCCAAATCCACCCCAAATCCACACCAAATCACTCAAAATCACCCCAAATCCACCCCAAATCCACCCAAAATCACCCGAAATCCCACCAGACAGACATGGATGGCACAGGGGAACCCCCAAATCCACCCCAAATCACCCAAAATCCACTCAAAATCCATCCCAAATCCCACCAGACAGACATGAATGGCATGGGGGAACCCCCAAATCACCCAAATCCACCCAAAAATCCCTCTGGAAAAGGCACAGAAGGGCTGGAATCCCCCAAAATCCCATTGGAAAAGGCACAGAAGGGCTGGAATCCCCCAAAATCCCTCCGGAAAAGGCACAGAAGGGCTGGAATCCCCCAAAATCCCTCTGGGAAAGGCACAGAAGGGCTGGAATCCCCCAAAATCCCATTGGAAAAGGCACAGAAGGGCTGGAATCCCCCAAAATCCCATTGGAAAAGGCACGGGAAGGACGGAGGGAACCCCCCAGAATCCCAGGAGCCCCCTCCCCACCCACCATTCCCAACAGGAATCCCCCCAGCGCCGCTCTCACCCTCAAACTTGGGCACGGGCGGCTCCCGGGGCTCCGTGCCCGGCTCCGTGCCCCGGCTCAGTGTCTCCGTGCCCGGCTCCGTGCCCCAGCTCGGTGTCTCCGTGCCCCGGCTCGGTGTCTCCGCTGCCCACTCGGTGTCCCAGCGCTCCTGGCAGCCCCCGGGGCCGGTGGGAACGGGCGGGAGCGGCCCCGGTGGCTCCCGGCGGCTGCCCAGGGGCTGCTTCCGCGGGCAGCGAGCGGCCGCCGCCTGCGCCAGCTCCGAGCGGAACGCCTGCTCCTCCGACAGCTTCTCCAGGATCAGCCTCTGCAAGGATCCAGCGGATCGGGGGACAGCCGCGCTCCGGAGAGCCAAACAACAACCCCCGGAGCCGTGTGGGATTGACAGGTCACAACAACCCCCGGAGCCGTGTGGGGTTGACAGGTCACAACAACCCGGATCCGTGTGGGATTGACAGGTCACAACCACCCGGATCCGTGTGGGATTGACAGGTCACAACAACCCCGATCCGTGTGGGATTGAATGGTCACAATAACCCGGATCCGTGTGGGATTGACAGGTCACAACAACCCCAATCCGTGTGGGATTGAATGGTCACAACAACCCGGATCTGTGTGGGATTGACAGGTCACAACAACCCCCGGAGCCGTGTGGGATTGACAGAACAAAACAACAACCCCGATCTGTGTGGGATTGACAGGTCACAACAACCCCAATCCGTGTGGGATTGACAGGTCACAACCACCCAGATCCGCGTGGGATCAAATGGTGACAACCACCCGGATCCGCGTGGGATCAAATGGTGACAACAACCCAAATCGGTTTGGGATCACGCGATCAAAAGAACCCGAAGGGGATGAGGAGGATCCCGAGGGCACGGGGAGGATCCCGAGGGGATGAGGAGGATCCCGAGGGGATGAGGAGGATCCCGAGGGCACGGGGAGGATCCCGAGGGCACGGGGAGGATCCCGAGGGCACGGGGAGGATCCTGGGGGGATCAAGAGGATCCCGAGGGCACGGGGAGGATCCCGAGGGCACGGGGAGGATCCCGGGGGGATCAAGAGGATCCCGAGGGCACGGAGAGGATCCCGAGGGCACGGGGAGGATCCCGAGGGCATGAGGAGGATCCCGAGGGCACGGAGAGGATCCCGAGGGCACGGGGAGGATCCCGAGGCTCCGATCCACGCTCACCTTGGCCACCTCCACCTCCTTGCGCGTGCCCAGCAGGCGGATGCAGCGCAGCGGGGCCAGGCTGGCCCCGGGCTCCTGGCCACACTCCACGCGAGCCCCCGAGCTCCGGCAGATCCCCCGCACCGTCTCCCCACCACGGCCTGCGGGAAAGCAGGGAGCGGGAACCGGAGAGCCCCGGGAGCTCCGGAAACGAGACCACGGGAAAGGGGAGGAGAGGATCGGGGTGGGAAACCAGTCTGGGATGTCGGGAAAGGGGTGGAAAACCAGTCTGGGATGTCGGGAAAGGGCTGGGAAATGAGTCTGGGATGTTGGGAAAGGGGTGGGAAATGAGTCTGGGATGTCGGGAAAGAGTGGGAAATGAGTCTGGGATGTCGGGAAAGAGTGGGAAATGAGTCTGGGATGTCGGGAAAGAGTGGGAAATGAGTCTGGGATGTCGGGAAAGGGTTGGGAAGGGAATCTGGGAGGGGGAGGGGGAAAGAGTGGAAAGGCCCCCTGGGATAAGGGAAAGGCAGGGAAAGGCCCCTGGGACTAACAGGAAAGGAAATTCCCACAAGGAATAGGGAGAAAGGGATGGAAGAGCCCCCCCAGGATGGGGTGGAAGGGCCCCCCAGGATTGGGATGGAAAAGACCCAGGATTAGCGGAAAAAGCGGTGGAAGGGCCCCTCAGGATTAGAGAGAAAGGATGGAAAGGCCCCTGGGATTGGGGGAAGGACCCCCAGGATATGGGGTGGAAGAGCCCCAGGATTTGGGGAAGGGGATGGAAGAGCCCCAGGAGACTGAAAGGGACCCCCAGGATTGGGGATGGCTCTGGGGGCTGGGAAAGGCCCCTGGGGGAGTGCAAGGATCCCGGGATTTGGGAAGGCGTGGAAGCTCCCTTGGGATTGGGGTTGAACCTGTGGGGGTGGAAGGATCCCAGGATTTGGGGTGTCCCAGGGGTACAGAAGTTCCCCCCAGGATTTGGGGTTTCCCAAGGGACACAGAACCTTTCCCCACAGGATTTGGGGTTCCCCAGGATTTGGGGTGTCCCAAAGGACGCAGAACCTTTCCCCCCAGGATCTGGGGTGTCCCTGTGGCTATGGAAGGTTCCCCCTGGGATTTGGGGATTCCCAAGGGACACAGAACCTTTCCCCCCAGGTTTTGGGGTGTCCCAAGGGACACAGAACCTTTCCCCCCAGATTTTGGGGTGTCCCAAGGGACACAGAACCTTTCCCCCCAGGATTTGGGGTTCCCCAGGATTTGGGGTTTCCCAAGGGATACAGAACCTTTCCCCCCAGGTTTTGGGGTGTCCCAAGGGACACAGAACCTTTCCGCCCAGGATTTGGGGTTCCCCAGGTTTTGGGGTGTCCCAAGGGACACAGAACCTTTCCCCCCAGGTTTTGGGGTGCCCATACCGATGATCCTGCCCACGGCGTGCTGGGGCACGCGCAGCTGCTCGGCCACGGGCGCGCTGTCGGCCACGATGCGCAGCACGGCCGCCTTGGCCCGGCACACCTGGCCCGGGGAGCCCGAGATCTGCACCAGGGACTGGCCCCCTTCCTCCTCCTCCTCCTCCTCCACATCGATCTGGGCTCCCGTCTCCTGCCTCAGCTGCGGGGAGAGCGGGGATCCGCCATTCCCGGTGCTCCCGGTGCTCCCGGTGCCCCGTCCCCGCCGCACACACCTGGTTGATGGTGGCTCCTCGGCGGCCGATCAGCGATTTCAGCGCCGTGCGGGGCACCCTCACCGCCACCTCCAGCCCCTCGTCCGCCACCAAGGTCACCTGCGCCTCTGAGGGGACAGCGGAGGGTCCCCAAAGGCTCCTCAGGGGGTCCCCAAAAGGTCCCCAGGGGGTGACAAAGGGACAGGAAGGGACTGGGACCCTTCCCAGGGGGGTTACAAGGGAAATTCCAGAGGGAGAAGTGACTCCCACAGCCTCCCACTCCTCAGGAGATCCTGGCATGGTCCCCAAAGGACCCCAAAGGGTCCCCAGGGGGTGACAAAGGGACAGGAAGGGACTGGGACCCTTCCCAGGGGGGTTACAAGGGAAATTCCAGAGGGAGAAGTGACTCTGATGGGTCCCCACTTCCCAGGGTGTCCTCAAAGGGTCCCCAGGGGGTGACAAAGGGACAGGAAGGGACTGGGATCCTTCCCAGGGGGGTTACAAGGGAAATTCCAGAGGGAGAAGTGACTCTGATGGGTCCCCACTTCCCAGGGTGTCCTCAAAGGGTCCCCAGGGTGTCCCCAAATGGTCCCCAGGGGGTGACAAAGGGACAGGAACCTCCCTGAGAACATCACAAGGGAATCCCAAATGAGAAAAGTGACTCCAGCAGCCTCCCCCTCCCCAGGGTGTCCCCAAAGGGTCCTCAGGGTGTCCCCAAAAGGTCCCCAAAGGGTCCCCAGGGGGTGACAAAGGGACACAGAGGGACAGGGACCCCTCCCAGGGTGGGTCCCACGGGAATTCCCAGCGGGAAAAGCGACCCCAGCAGCCTCCCCCTGCCCACGGAGAGCCCCGAGGCGGCTGCCGGGGGTCCCGTTCGGGCCCCGGTGCAGGGACCCGCACCCACCTCGGCTCTCCCGGTAGCGCCGGTACAGGATGTAGAGCACGGTGGCGGCGGCCGGGACGCCCAGGAGCAGGGCGGTTTTCTGCAGGCCGCTCAGGCTGTGCACGGAGCCCGCCATCGCCGCCTGCTTACCGGGCCGTTACCGGGCCGTTACCGGCAGGGGCGCCCCGGGCCGTCTCTCCCCCACCCGTACCCTCACGGAGGGCTCGGCTCCGGGCCCGCCGGTGCAGGCCCCGGGCACGGTCAACCGGCAGCGGAGCCCCCGCAGGCACCTCGGCCGCGCCCCCCGGGTGGTCTCACGGTACCTGCAGGTGTCGGGGCCACCCCCGGGGCCCGTAGCGACCCTGGTTCCGACCGGCCCGGCCCCGGTTCGGGCCCGGCCGCGGTTCGGGTCCGATGCGGCCCCGGCGCCGCCGCCGCCGCCTCCCGCGCCCCGCCGTTGGCCACGCCTCCTCCCGCTCCCCACCAATCACATTGCTGCTCCTCCCACCTCAGCCAATCACAGCGTAGCTCCGCACCTCCCCCATCCAATCACCGCCTGCGGAGCAGCGGCCAATCCCCGCGAGGCCGCCCACATGAGGGGTGGGAAGGAAAGCAGCCAATCAACGTTGAGTAGCGGATGTGCAAACCAATCAGAGAACGAGAAAATGTGAATGTCCGCCTCCCATTTTGAGTGACAGGCATGGGAGCCTATAGAAACTCCGAGCGCTGGGCGGGGCGGGTCTTTAATGCCGCCCCCGGTGTCCCCGCGTGTCCCCCGTGACGGAGCCCACGGACACGCGGTCCCCAAAAACGCCTTTATTTCCCTCAAACGCAGCCGCCGCCACTCCACACTGACCCCCCGACAGCGCGTGGGGTGGCCGTGGGACAGCCCGGGATTCGCCCGCGGGTGACAGGGACAGCGGGCACCCACGGGTGACAGGGACAGAGCAGGGCACCCACGGGTGACAGGGACATCGGGCACCCAGGGGTGACAGGGACATCAGGCACCCAGGGGTGACAGAGCCTCGCCGGGTGCCCGTGGGTGGCGGGTCCCCTGCAGGTGCCGCATTCCCCGCAGGTGCCTGGGTGAGAGCACCCCCAGCTGTCCCCGGGGCGGTCCCGGTGCTCCCGGAGGTCCCGCTGATCCCGGTGCTCCCGGAGGTCTCGGTGCTCCCGGTGCTCCCGGAGGTCCCGCTGATCCCGGGGCTCCCGGAGGTCTCGGTGCTCCCGGAGGTCCCGGTGATCCCGGTGCTCCCGCTGATCCCGGTGCTCCCGCTGATCCCGGTGCTCCCGCTGATCCCGGTGCTCCCGGAGGTCCCCGGGCCGCGCTCAGCGGGTCCCCGCGGGGCCCTCGGCGGGGTCGGGGGCGAAGAGCTCCCGGTAGAGCGGGGGGAAGGCGGCGGAGACCCCCCCGGGGTGGAGGCGGCGGAACGCCCGGACCTGCTCCAGGTGCTGCGAGCACAGAGCGCGGAGCCGGCCCGGGGCGGGCAGCTGGGGGGGACACGGCTGTGACACACGGACACGCGTGGGGACACACGGACACGCGTGGGGATACGGCTGTGACACACGGACACGCGTGGGGACACACCTGTGACACACGGACACGCGTGGGGACACACGGACACACGCACAGGGAACCCCCC